CCCATACTTATAAGAAACAACCCAAAGGCCATATATCTGTACAGATCCGTTGTGCATTGGACCACCTCTGTGCAGTGGAGACAGGCCATCTTGGGAGCTGAGTGTGGCAGTGTACACCTGTCATCCCAGTTCCTGGGAGACTGAGAAAAGACTGTGAGCTTGAGGCCAGCCTGGGCTGCAGAGTGAGAACCGTGCCTCAAACACCAGCAAGCTAGGACTTGGGTTCAGTGGGAGAGCAGGTGCTTAGCGTATAAAGGCCCTGTGGCCAACCCTAAGCACACAACCCCACAAGCATTGAAAAGAGAGGGAGAGAGGGAGTAGACGGGGAGGGGCACCTGCCTCAACACGCCGGGACTCAGATGCATCTGCACTAAGTCACAGAAGCCTGATCACCAAAAGCAGTGCAGTATGGGAGTTCATCCGTATGACCCTGAAGACTAAACTACAGAGAAAGAAAACAACCTTGTAGTTGTTACAGTGTGGTAGGGACAGGTGGTGAAGGATACTGCAAGGAAGTCTTTGCAGAGTGAGGATATTTGTTAATCGCAAAGATGTGAGGAGAAAGACCACCAACCCAAATCACCATGGCCAAATTAATTAAAGCAAGCATTTTTTATTCGTGTACACAGGCTGCCTCCCCCTAACGGGTGCAGAGGTCAGCATTGGACATGAGGAGGACAAGATCTTTGTGGTAGATTTTATTGTGGATTTGGAGGACAAATAGGTGGAATTATAGGAGCAGAACAGAAGCATGACAAGTTAGTCCTAACGACCTCCTGAGACAAAGACGTGGTTACAAGGTGGGCATAAGAAGGTACTCATAACAACCTCTAGAAATAAAGGTGGGGCTGAAAGATGGTTGTTTGTTGTTGTTTGGGGTTGTTTTTTTTTGTGTGTGTGTGTGTGTGTTTGTTTTATTTTGTTTTTTGTTTATTTGTTTTTTGAGACAGGGTTTCTCTGTGTTAGTTTTCCTGGAACTCACTCTGTAGACCAGGCTGGCCTCAAACTCACAGAGATCCACCTGCCTCTGCCTCCCGAGTGCTGGGATTAAAGGCGTGACTCACTACCTCTTTTTTGTTGTTGTTTTGTTTCATTTAGTTTGGCAAGATGGTTATAAACAACTTTTGAGACAAAAGCATGATTGCCCTTCCTGGAACATGCAGTAAGGAGCCATTTGTAGTTAAGGTTACAAGTTAAGGTTAAGGTTAAGGGGTCAGGAGAGATGGCTCAGAGGTTAAGTGTACTGACCGTTCTTCCAGAGAACCCAGGTTCAATTCCCAGTGCCCACATGGCAGCTCACAACTGTCTGTAACTCCAACACTTGACACCTTCACACAGACATAAATATGTGCAGGCAAAACACCAATGCAGCCGGGCAGTGGTGGCGTACGCCTTTAATCTCAGCACTCGGGAGGCAGAATCAGGGGGATCTCTGAGAGTTCGAAGCCAGCCTGGGCTACAGAGTGAGTTCCAGGAAAGGCGCAAAGCTGCACAGAGAAACCCTGTCCTCAAAAACCAAAAACCAAACCAAAACAAAACACCAATGCACATAAAATAAAAATAAGTAATTTAAAAAAAAAGGCTACAGGTGGGGCATAGCCCAATCCTTGAGAAACAGATTTAATCATAAACAGGAATGAGCCTGTAAGATGGTTTTTAAGCCTAAGATGGAGGCAGGCTGGTTCATCATATTTTCTACTTTTTGATTCTGTAATTTCACACACCCATGTAGAATGTACTTTGATCACCGCCCTCATGTCCGCTCTTATCCCTTCCCCCTCCCACTGAACCTCTCCTGTTTCACATCTTTCTCCCTTCGGCCCACAACATTTAACTAAGGTTCTTGAATAAGCACGGCTGGGGGTGTGGTTATTTCCTTGGACAAGCCCAATTTACCTACCAGTGGTGACACCACCTAAGATGCCCTCTTCCAGCAACCAGTAACTGCCTATAGGTCTTCAGGGAGGGGCAGGGCCTTATGAGACCCTCACTGTCCTTGACAGACGGTTGAGGGGCCCGGCGGTGCGCAGGTCTTGCTCAGGTAGCCACTGTGGCAGCGAGTTCACGGTGCCGAAGCCACGCAGGTCCCGAAGACGGCATCCTACAGCGCTCTGGAAGTTCTTCCATTCCTCCTGCCCACCTCTTCTCATGAGCTTTGCAGGGGGTCATGTGGATGTCCCACTTCGGGCTAAGCAGTCAGCAGTCACGATTCTCAGCACTTTGACTAGTCTCTGTTACTAGTTTACTAGTCTCTGCGTTAACCGGCGCCCACAGCAGAAGCTTCTCTGACCAAGGCTGAGACAGCACTTACCTGCGAGTGTGAACATAAACACCTAGGCTGTTTGACATCATGTCCCACAGTGAAACAAACACAGGAACCGGTGGGGTGGTGGCGCACTACTTTAATCCCTGTACTCGGGAGGCAGAGGCAGACAGATCTGAGTTCGAGGCCAGCCTGGGCCAAAGAGGGAGTTGAGGGCAGTCAGGGCTACGCAGAGAAAACCTGTCTCGAAAAACCAACCAACCAAACAAACAAACAAACAAACAAACAAAATTCAAAAAAAACAAAACAAAAAGGATCTCGGGCCAGCAGATTACTCAGCGGTACAGAAGGAGCCTGCCACCAAGCCTGGGACCTGAGTTCCGTCTCGGGGACCCACGTGGTGGAAGCGGAGAACTAATTTCCAAAAGTCTCGCAATGGGGCATAGGGTGGTTCATGCATAGAATTCGGGAAATTCTAGGTCGGCCTCATTACCGCGGTGTCCAGAGTAGAAATTAAGGAGAAGGAACGCAAGCCATCAGGGCACCCCAGCGAGCAGGACCGACCACACAGGGCCAAGCTACCTGCGCCCAGCGGAGCATGAACGCACGGGAACCCACAGCCACCAGGGGGCGCTCCGCACTGGTCCGAGTTTTCTTGGCTGTGATGTGTACAATGTAACAATGTTTATTCTCTTGCGGGTCTTCAACGTGGATCACTAGCAATTTAGCCTCTAATTTACAGAATCAGGTGACCGTGACCAAGCCGGAGGCAGGGGACATCGCGCACAGCTCAGGGCCTGGAGAGACCCTGAGCTGGCCCCCAGGCATGCGTCCTGGAGCCTGACTGTGGGTCCTGCGGAGGAAGGTGTCTGTGCAGGGGGCACCGGCAAGGGAAGGATTGTAAAGCAGGGCAGGGTGGGATCATTTGTGTGTTGACTGACCAAAGTGATGAAAGACCAGAGAGCAGGTGAGGCGCCAGCATAGCAGATTGTGAAGTCCTGAACTAGCTACGCTGGCTGCTCTTCCAGAGGACCCAGGTTCGATTCCTAGCACCCACATGGTAGCTTACAACTGTCTGTTAACTCCAGTCCCATGAGATATGACGCCCTCCTCTGGTCTCCAAGGGCACCAGGTACCCACTCACGTGGTGCACAGACACACATTCCATACACATCATCATCATCATCATCATCATCATCATGATCACCCTCACCATTCTCCTGCCACTGCTGTGGTAAGGCCACGGAAGTTGCCCTCTCCTTCTACTCCGGTCTTGGCAGGGGACTTAGAAACAGGAAGGCCTCTGCAGGTTGAGAGAAGAGCTAAAAAGAGGCCGCTGGCCTCAAAGCCACTTCCTCATCTCATTTTTTAAAAACCACATCTTTAATCAAAAGAACACATGTCAAACAAATAACTTTTAAAGGCTGAATGATACAGAGTAAACAAAACAGCACCGTGGGAAGGGTTAGGAACAGTGGAAATGTCAGATACCGGGGGCACAGAGCAGGGCAGGTTTGATAGTGGCTTAACCCTCACGTATGAAAGACCCAAATCTGCATCTGATCTTCCTGGCACGTCTATGTGTATGTGTGCTTGAACGTGTGTGGGTGCATGTGTGTTTGAACGTGTGTGGGTGCATGTGTGTTTGAATGTGTGTGCGTGCATGTGTGTTTGAACGTGTGTGCGTGCATGTGGAGCCCTGAGGCTGACCTCAGGTGTCTCCTGTGATCACTGTCTGCTTTATGAATTGAGGTAGTCTCTTGCTGAACCTGGAGCCTGCCAGTTGCAGCTAGTCTAGCTGGCCAGTTTGCCCCAGGATCCCTGTCTCCACCTCCCCGGCCGCAGATGACTGGCAACTGGCTTTTATGTTGTTCTGAGGGTTGGAACGTCAGAGTCCTCACATGGGTGCAGCAAGCACTTTTATCCCCCTGGGTCATCTCCCCAGCCCTTCTTCTTCTTCTTCTTCTTCTTCTTCTTCTTCTTCTTCTTCTTCTTCTTCTTCTTCTTCTTCTTCTTCTTCTTCTTCTTTTTAAAATTATTTATTTATTATGTATACAGTGAACATATCCCTGCAGGCCAGAAGAGGGCACCAGATCTCATTACAGATGGTTGTGAGCCACCATATGGTTGCTGGGAATTGAACTTAGGACCTTTGGAAGAGCAAGCGGTGCTCTTAACCTCTGAGCCATCTCTCCAGCCCCCCTCTTCTTCTTTTATTGAGACAGGATTTCATACTAGCTCAGGTTGGCCTTGAACTTACAGCAATTCTCCTGTCTCAGCCTCCAGAACACTGATATTTCAGGTATGAGGCACACACCTAGCTTTTTGTTTTATTTTTTTAAGCAATCTTGCTGGGTAGCCCAGGCTGTCCTTGAACTCACAGTCCTCCTGCACTGGCCTCCAGAGTGCTGCCCGACACACACCACCATGACCAGCTTGCATGCTGATTCTTTGAGTGTCTCTTTTAGGAAAGAGTGTGTGTGTGTGTGTGTGTGTGTGTGTGTGTGTGTGTGTGTGTGTGTGCCTGATGCCTGCCTTCATAGCTCCATGG